CTTGCACCTCCACTTGCCTCGGCTGCTGAGGAGACGGCGGTGTCAGCTAAGGCGTCATCATCAGACCAATCAAGCTCACCGATGGAGGAACTAAGTACCGGATCTTGCCTCTCAGACGGGGGGAGCTTCGCCTCGGCTTCCGGGTCTTTCATCAACCTCGGGAGCTTCAGATTCTTCTTAGCCCATTTCTGGGTGAGTTTCAACTTCTTGAAAGCCCGATGCAGCCTCCGGTATATCAGCCGTTGCATCCTCTGCTGGCCCATGTCGTAGTAAACAGCCATCTCACGGGCAAAGTATTCCTGGCCAGCAGGGCAGTTCTGGCCCCAGTCTTCAAGCCGTTCCGCCACAACCTCGTAGCACCAGGGACGACGGTTCTCGGCCTTCCAGCCTTCGGCCAGGAACCTCTCGATAGCGCCATCAACGGCCTTCTCAGCGGCCCTCTCAGTGTCAGTCTGAACCCTCGCGGCGTCCTCGGCCCGAAGTAGGGCCTCATCACGGCAACTCAGGGCTTCATCCCTGGCCCTCAAAGCATCATCCCTGTCGGCGGCCACCTGCCGGTAGGCCACATCGGCCTCATCAACACCCCTCTGCAGGGTCTTTACCTCCTCCCGGAGCCGATCCAAGCAGGCCATGGCCTCCTCGGCAGAAGCAGCCTTTTTCTCGGCCTCCTTCAAGCGGGCAATCTCCTGCTCTTGCCGCTTATGGCTCTCCATCAGCATAAGGGCACCCTGCAACAAAAAAGGAAAAAGAAGAGTTAGAACGAGGTGAAAACTCGTGACACAAAAAGATGTAAAGTACAAAGAACTTACTTGGACGATGAGGTCCATCCCGCCGTCATAGATCCTGACGGGACCTAGCTTCTTCAAATAAGCCCGATCCTCGACCGGGACAGCTTGGGCTAGAACATCATGGCCGTCAACGGCGTCGTTGAAGACACCGCCATTCACGGGGTACTCGACTTCGAGTTTGTAGGTCCCAACGGCCGACTCCTTGTCGGCCCTCTGTTTATGGGGCTCCTGGCCGACAGGCGGCGGCTGGGACTGAGTCGTCGACGAGGGGACCGAAACCGCATCAACAACGGCAACGGCATTTGAGCCGCCGACATCATCGTCTGGTATGGACAGACCACCGACAACAGCATCAGCCAGAGGGGAAGCCCTCTTCGTCTTTTTGGATTGCATACCGGCCTCAGTAAGCTTCCTCTGGTCGTCATCCACGGGCCGTTTCTTCTTCAGCTGCGTGGGCGGTTTCTTCGCCGCGTCAGAGCTCGGCTGGGTGCCACTCGCAGTGGCCATCTTTGCGGCCTCTTTTGCGGTCATCTCCTCCTTTGCCTTAGCTTTGGCTAGGGCCATGACGGATCTGCGATCCATAATGAAATCTGCACAACGAGAAGAACAAAGACAGTTAGCAAAAACAAAAGTAAATATGGACGAAGATGCCATGGAGGGTATTACCATCAGCGTCAGCAGGCACGCCCATATCCGGGCCATCGGCCTCCTCAAAGGTGGTGGTCATCTTCAGCCACAGCTCGGTGTCACTTTCCTTATCACCATAAACGAAGTACCAGAAGAAGCCGAGGGCGGTCAACTTATACTCCGTTATGTACTCTTTTACGCTCCTCGGCCCTCCTTTAAGAAATGCAACCACCTGAGCGTCCAAGATGCTGCTCCTCGGCACCTCATGGAGGTTGAATCTGCCGTCATGGCCGACGGAGGGAAACTCAGTACCACCCTCCCCCAAAGAAACAAAAACGAACTTACCCTTCCACCCATGAATGGACGTAGGAAGATCAGTAAAGGACCTCTTCTTCGGCAGCTTTTGGAAATTAGCATAACCGGCACAATTCTTGTGGCTCCCTCGGCCGATCTGGTACAAGTTCAAGAAGAGAGTTGTCGTCGGCCTAAAGTCTAACTCATCACAGCGAAGGAGGAAGCCGATGATGAGTGAGTAGCTGTTCGGGGTCAACAAGGCCGGAGGGAGACCCACCATATCCAGATACTCCGTAATAAACGAGTGGAGGGGAAACCTAAGTCCCTTTGCAAAGCTCATGGGGTATACTCCAAAATACCCCGGAGGTGGATTCAACACATGATCCATTGGCCGGGGCGCCCAAACCCTCCCATACGGCTCCACGTACATCTGGGCCACCAAGTAATCGGTCGCGCTGCTTTCCGGCTTGATCAAATAAAGGTTGGTAAGATCCAGGTAGGAGTAACATGGACCCCTCTTCGGCCGACGCCTTCTCGTCGGGGCAGCTCCCTTTACAGCAGAAACCGGCTTCGGGCAAGGAATTGCAGCCGATGTAGACGCTCCGTCCACAGCACGGGAAGCCACTACGTCCTCACCATCGGACGACGAGGCGGCCTCTTCGTCCTCACCTTCACTCCCCTCTTGCTCCCCTGATTTGAAGGAGCTCAGCTCCTCTATCTCCTCACAACACTCCTCTACTACCCGGTAATCAAGGGACTTAGCAGAGGGCTCATCATCATATGGGTAGTACTCGTCGTCCAAGGGATTCATCATAACAACTAACTAAAGCCTAGAGGTTCTTACTTTGGATTTAAGGACGTTTTTTCACTAACAACGAATCAAAGGCTAAAAGAAGCAAAGTATACAGGGAATTGGAGAAAAGTTCAACGAACTGACCTTTGAAGTTTTGAAGATCAGAGGAACACACGAAAAGACTTTCTCTCTCTAGAAATTTTGACAACACTTCGTTATCTCAAGAATGCAATGAGGAACCTCTTCGGAGGGAGGGGGCATTTATAGACCTCCCCCCCCCCCCAACGGTCACTACACATGGCAACCTCCCGTTGGCCACATGAACGGCCACCACTCCCAAGGCCCATTGGGCTGGCACCGGGTCAGAAGGCAAGTCAGGCCCACTTCCACAGTATCAACCCACCGCCAACATGCGAACTAGCAACGCCCGCAACGGCCAACCACTCAACGGCCACGCTAAGAAAGCGCGCCCACATCGGCCTCAACACAGATAACTTCAAAAGTGTAGGTCACATCTCAAGATATGCCCATATCGGCTGGCGCAGAATGCCAACTGCATGGCCTTTTCAAAGGCCACAACGGCAAAGCAAAATGCAACCCCACAGCCATTGGCCTTGTATAAAATCCTGATGATAATTTCTTGAAAGCGACCTGCGTCCAAAGGTTCTCCCACAGGGTTACCTTGGTCAGGAAATCGCCAAGGAGTTGGATTCAGGGGAATACAAGAATCCCACTTCGACCTAGGCAAAACCTTTACTCCTTCACCCATCATCTACTTTTCGGCCTGAAGCAGTGGGGGACTGGGGGACTGCACCGGTCTTTGAAAATCAGGACAAAGTCAAACAAATCCAAAAATATACCAAGTCCACAACTACAACATCATATATGCACCACAGCGTCCATAACTGGCCGCGGCAAAGTAAGCAGAAAGAATTCCCTCCAAAGATGCAACACCTAAGATCGCAGCGCACTCAATGGCTTTGAGCCCGCATACTCCACTTTCGGCCAAAAAATTAAGATGGGAGCTCACCGTCCTCAAAACATGGACACCAAGCTGCAACCATCACTCTTCACCCAAAGACACAGAATGAGAGCCACGTCGGCCAAATAAAGCAAGCAGCGCCTTCACCGATTACCCGGAGGAAGGGCACTCATCGTCCTCGAACGGGGAATGACCACAATACTCTCCTCGACCATGGGTACAATGTCCAACCATCAACGGCCAGGAGTAGAGAAACATCGCCTTCACCGGCCACTCACGCAAAGGGACACTCATCGTCCCCAAACCAAGCGACACTCTCCGTACACACCAAGGGCCACAACGGCCAATGACGGTGCCCGTAACGGTGCAAAGCACGAAACCCAGAGCAAAGAGTGCTCGTAACGCCCAATGTAGGAAAATCTCCATAGCGGTCCCACAACGGCCAGAAAACGTCAGAAACAGGAAATCTACTCTCCCTCACTTCGTCTACATCTCAGCTCAGAGAGTGGGGGACTCCTGATGGAGTATATGGGCCTGGACCCCAGGGCCCACATACTCGAAAGAACAGAAGGTACCACGACCGCCTGGTGGGACCCTCGTCGGCCAGATGACCCTCATCGGCCGAGAAGAAGTTCACTCAGAATACGATCCAGAAGCCAGGAAGAGCCGGTGATCTCGTCGGCCGGGTCTTCGTCGACCGTGGCCTCATCGGCCACAGATGGCCTCCAGAATAGGACTTTACACTTAATCTTTTCTCTGTACTTTGTATCCGGCCCATTAGTGGCCCAATTGTAAATGGACCTCCCAAGCCCAAGACTTGGGAGTCCGGCCTTAATTTCCTCTATAAATACTCCCCTTGGGAGCCATGTAAAGGGTTCAGAATTCATTAATACAAAGCAAATATACTACTTCTCTCTCTAGCTCTCCTTTCTCTCTAGACTTATAGAGTTATAGTCTATCAAGACTCTATATTAGACTAAGTTTATTTTTCTTTTAAATCACATTATATGTGATGCGACAGAAATTAAATTTCAAATTAGCTAAATTACATATTGTCCGTGCTTCGCACGGGCTCGAAAGCTAGTGATGATAATTAGTAACATGATATTTTTGTAAGATATTTTGTTGTTATTCGTAATTATTCCAGGACAAGACTTTTGATTCATTAACATTTTTTAAAAATCTGATGCACTTTTTAGGTACAGATATGCACTAGTATTTATATTGTAGAATATGATACACTTTTTGGACGCTGAACTTTAACTTATTTTCTAAATGATACCAATATTTTTCCTTCAAAATTCATCTTCTCCATCCGTTTTTGTCAATCACTGACCAATATAAATTCTTAATTTTCACCAAAGACGAGGAATTTTTTATTTGAACCAATCATTCATGAACAAGATAAATTCTTATTTGAACCTTTTGTTTTATTTGAGACTCTCCGAGACCATCCCATTGATGCTAGGAAAACAGAGATATTGAAGTACTCGTAGATTCAAAAACACGTCCATACCCTGGTGTTCAAATGGGAGCACAACCTTCTCACGATCGAGGCGTTCCTTTTCTGATAGCTGGAGATTAAATTGCACCTATAAAGCACTCATCGCATTAATTCATGATATTTAATTATTAATGAATAATTAAATAAAAAATATGCAATATGATATCAAGATTTGGGTTCCATTTTAAAAGATAAACCGGACAAGAGAAGACATTTTATGCCGGTTCATATTTTTATATGTGGCTCATAGTGATGATGATTTAACATGCATTTATAATTTTATATGTTGCACATTTGCACTAATTTAGGGGAGGAGAGAAATTTCTAAGCTGATAGGCGGTGGGTTAACCTTGGGCACAAGGCTTTGAGCAGTTAGACCGCCATCTTCCAAATTACAAAGGCTGAATTTAACACCAGAATCCACAACGTGAATGTCTTCACACTGACAAAAAAGAATCAAAATTGAGATGATATGATCAAATGATAAAATAATGATGTAATCTCTGATGATTTATTACCATGACTCTAACACGCCCATTCCTACGCTTGAAGCGTACTTGAAACTTCCCTCTTTTAAAGTTTTGTTCCATCATTGGTAGGTTCTCTGTGGTAGTAGCCCTTCGACCACTTACTGTCTGAGACGTCACTGGTACTATATCAGCACGTATGGTAGACATATATTCAAGTGTAGAAGTGACTTTGGTCTCATGAAGGTCCGAATTCAATAATGAAAACATACTTGAAACCTGGTCTGCAACCAAAATCAAAGTATGACAAAGAAGTTCTAAAATCCCTCATCCTACAGAAGAATGACTAGATAGGAACTTCACTTATAAATGGGTACCACAAGAAACACATCAGAAATATTGATTGGAGCGCATGCGCATCATATCTATTACTCCCGCCGTCCTAAATTTGGAGCAAGGGAATGTAGCACTCAAATAAAGAAAAAGTAAAATTGAGTGGTCGATATTATTTGTAAAGTATGGCTGATTTTGAATTACTCAAATATGACCAAATATGATATGGTACAGATGGGAATAGAAAAAAGGGAAACCACAATGGGGTGGAGGAAGCATATGACAAGAATATATAATCAGATAGCACCTATCACAGTCCGTTTGCTCAGAGGGTTATTACATGAAATACTTGAATTGCTGACTTTCCAAAAGGAAGAGAGTGTAACACCCATTTCAGCCAAACAAGCAACTTTTGGCAACTAAACTGAGGTGTTAATATTATCTAAGAACAGAAGATCATTCTTGTGGATAAAGAATTCACATGTACATTAAAATTTGTCAACGTGTTGTAAGGACTGCAATACTGCATAATAATCTTCATTAAAAGCAATATAATTACGATACAGAGGACTTTCCTGACAAAGTTTAGAGATTTTAATTACCGACATATTACGTAGTATATGGACCGAAGAGTTGTTATTCCATTATAATCGAGAAAAATGAACAATATTTGTAATCTAAACGGGCATTACTCTATTGGAAAAGCAAACAAGTTTGAGGCCATCCTTTGAGCCAATAGACAAAGTATCTAGTTCTTCTAGTCCTTTTGGCAACATTTATAAAAGGAAAAAATGTCAAATAAGGTCTTCTACTATTACGAAATCATCACATGAGATCATGTACGCAATAAAGTGTCATATAAATACATCTACTTATAAAAAGCAACCGCATGAATCCTAATAACCCGTTGACAACCTCCTAATCCCGAATTTAGCTTACATGTCGACATGTCGTTATATTTATCTTTTATTTAAGCCAATCCTAGCTAAACATTTCATGTCATCCATATAATCTATTTTAAAAGAGCCAGACGTACGCTATAAACGGGATTACGAGGTTGTCAAAAGGTTGTTAGGACTAATTTGATTGATTTTTATAAGTAGACATATTTATATGACACTTTATTGAGTACATGGCCGTATGTGACGATTTCATAATAGTAGTAGGCCTTATTTGACTATTTTCCCTTTATAAATATAGGCACAAAAATCTTTATATTTCCACATCATTGTGAACCTATACTATAAGCAAAAAGAAGTTGCAAAGCAACCAATAGAGCATACCATGACAGCGAAGGTGGCTTAAAATTCTAGCAACAGAATGGATGGATGAGTGTCTCAACATCTCACTTACCTGCAGTTAGAGATCAAAAGGTAAAATAAAATATTAAATGCAAGGCGAAGGAACCCAATGAAAGTTATTTTCATATGTTTGGCAATACATTCCAAACAGACCCCTTAATAAAGAGAAAGAGATGGGACTTTCCCAACACACACATTCATTTATCAGGTTTGAAGCTTCATAGGTTTACCGAATCTATAGCAACTGTGAATCTTCCTTTTCCTTCTCCAACCATTTCTGCAAGAAAAAAGCACACAAAATAACAACAATAATAGTAGTAGTTATACAGCAATACCACCACCATACAAAGAAAGTCTGTCTTCATACCTTTTCCAAGTTCAACTAATGAGGTCAATAGCTTATTCGAGTCCTTAACATGGGTGAATAGAGTATTCTTAACATAAGTCTCTACAGGGGTACTATTAGTAACAGTCCCAAGCTCCTTGAGTCTACATTTCCAACCCAAAGGATCAGTGTAGCAATCCAAAATGCTAAACCTGATAAAATTTCAGCATATGAATATATCAACCTTTCGATGTGTTATAATAAGAGCACTGTAAATTTGTAATACACGAAGTAATTTAATAGATATGGATCAAACCATTTATTTGAAGAATCGCCGTCACTGCATCTACATTTGAGCAATTCAGCATAGAATGACGGGGGCCGATAAAAAGCGACCAATAAAATTCCTCTGGGAAATGCATCAAGTAAAATAAATAAGTAAACTAACTTAAAGACTGCTCTTTTTTCTTTCTTCTGAACTATCACATGAGCTTGCTGGACAATTGAACTGACCGAGACTGCGATTTACCGGCGGAAATGCTAGAAAAAAGCTGGGAGAGAATGTGATTGAAAACTAGTGGTCCGAGAGGTGATTCAATGGAGTCGTTCAGAGTGAGAGCAGGGGCGTGCTCTCCCTCTAATGCTCCATCTCTAAGGCTTCGGCATATTAATTCCGCCATTTGTGGTTGATAACCACAGTGTCGGGGCTCCGAATACCGTCGAGATTGTGGGGTCGATAAAACCCTAATTGGTAACTTTCTAAATTAGTACTCCATGTGTGGATTATAGCGAGCTGTAGTTTGAGTTGAGGCGAGTCAGGCGAACGTGATGTACAAGCCTAGGACAGTATTTTGAAAAGAAAAAAAACCCCTGTTTTGGATGCATTTTTACCAAGAGAAATTTTCCAGTTAGACGTTTTATTATTATTTTGAGTATGATTGTTATTTGCTTCAATTCTTGCGTATGTTTAACAAAAAAATCATCTGTTTTGGATGCATTTTTACATGTCTAATCAGGGGGAATTCTTCAGTTGTTTGGAGTTTGTAGAAGTGGTAAAGACTATGGTGGCATCAAGATTCAAGAATCAGAAAGAACTCTATAATCTGATCACATGGCTATTCTTGAGTCTAGAATCTAGATGGTGTTGAAAATAATTGGTTGATATTTAGTTTTTGATCGATTACAACCGCTAATAATTGGTCAAATTACTATAGTTTGGTGTTTTCTTTCCAAAATATACAAACTTCATACACATTTTTATGAATAGGTTATCTTTTTATTTGTGTATAAACAATAAGATAAACAAGCATCATAAACAATAAGTTTTTTTAAAACATGTTGCAAACAAGTGAGTCAAGCATTATTGTTTTGGATACGCTACGTATTTATGTGCCTAAGCATTATTGTTTTGATGCGATATGTATGTTAATGGTTTTTAATGTACAATAGTTGAAAATATCCTTAAAAAGAAATCAAATAAATATTCCGGGTAAAATTTGTTATGGTAATTACCGGTATAGTTCACTTTTACGTGCAACATATCATTTATGTCCTTGTTATTTTCTCTTTTCATTTGTAAACTTTTCTGTTTTCAATTTTAATTTCTTTATTTCACTTTTAGATATGATCGCCAACATCCTCCGTCTATTCATACTTTTATCTTCCTTCGCATCTCGTCTTATACCTCTCCATCGGCTACTTGGGGAGGGAAGCTCCCGATCAGCGATTTGCGTCTAATCGGTGGCTCTCTCTGGTAACATCGTCTTAGCGATAGGAGGACAACCGGGACACGCCGTTGCAGGAGAGTTTGGGACAACGATGGAGCTCTCAACATCGGGACAGAGATACTCCGTTAATGCGCAGTCCAACTTTCAATCGTGCGCGTGTCTAGCCTTTCTTCCGGTACCGTCTAGGGCTACGACCTTTCGGCGACTAGGGGCCAATTCTGGAGAGTAGCGAACATAGTCATTTCTGGAATTTAAATCGATGCAACTCCAGGTGTAGATTTTTTTACCTATAAATCTGATCACTACTGCGGTATTCAGATCTTTTTGCTCTAAAATAATAAGCAGTGAGTTCTAAGCTTTTCTCTTGAATTTCATTGGTTGTTTCTGTTCAAGTACTCTTCATTTCTATTTATGGTTAGTTTGCTTCTGATTTGGCCTCTGAGGTGTAGTGTTGCATCTGGATTTTCAGAGTAAATTTGTTTATTTTCATCAAATTCTGATTTTTTCTAGGATTAAATAACGTTTTTCATTTTAATTCTTTTTTGCCATGTTTATGTACGATGTTGTAAGATCTGTAATTTGGTTCAACCTTATTTAGACATTTAATCAGTTTGGGTGATAAATAAAAATCCTTCTTTGTCTGCTATTAAGTATTTGCTATTTGCTATGATTTTGCCTTCATTTAGAAGGATTAAATACCTTCTGTATTTTTTTAATCACTCAATTTTCAAAATCAATTTGCCTTTGAATTGTGATATCCACTTTTGAATGAAGGAATTCAATAAGAAATAGTTTGTGTACATCCACTCTTGAATATTCAAAACTGTACATTCAATTTCGAATAAGAAATTGTTTGTGTATATGCTGTTTATATGTTCTTGTTGAAGCGAGAAAAAGTGTATATCGAGCAAGTGAATAGTCAAAACGTTAGAGAGGAGAGCACTTCTCTATGATTTTGGGGCTGAATTGGTTCTTACTGATCCTGCCAAGGCATGAAAGGTTGCATTCAAAAGGTTGCAGAAATACATCCCAAAACAGCTAATCCCCTCCACTCTCTAACAGTTTGAAAATCCCAGCTATTCAACCCAAAGATACCTTATGAAACTATTGAGGCAGAAATTTGGAAAGGATCAAATGGTAAAATTAATGCTTTCATCTCTTGAATTGGTACAGGAGGCACTATTACTGGTGTGAGCAAGTTCCTTAGGGAACATAACCAAAACGTAAAGATGTATGGAGTTCAACCTGTTGAAACATGTTCTCAACAGAAGAAAGTCTGGTCAATACAAGATCAAGGGAACTGGCACCAGTTTTGTCTCGGGGTCATATATGTTAATCCTATCAATGAAGTAATTCAAATTAAATGAAGTCATTGGAACTCCAAAGCAGCTTGCCACAAAAGAGAGATTGCTAGTGTGAATATCATCAGTTGCAGCTGCTAAAACTGTTGTGATTAGAGTTGCAAAGAGGCTTCAGAATGCTGGGAAACTTGTTGACATTTTCCCGAATGTTGTATAGCATTATCTTTCTTATTAACTCTTAGAATCCGTTAGGCATGAAGCAGAGAACATGGTCTTTGAGACGTGAATGAATTTCTTGAACGTCACTTTTGATGCTTTTTTCCTTTTTGTTTCTCTTTGTTTTATTTTGTTGCTTTTTGTTGCATCGTATGTGTTTCTTTTTGTTGCATCATGTTTCTTTTTTTGCAACATGTTTCTTTTTGTTGCATGGTATGTGTTTCTTTTTGTTGCACCATGTTTCTTTCTTTTTTGCATCATGTTTCATTTGCTGGTATTGTGTTGTTTATTGTTATTTACAATTAATTCTGATTTTTGTCCAATTACTCAATTAGGTTTCTATTTATATGTGCTACATACTTATTTGGATTACAAAATCTATATATAGATATGCATATGAAAACACCTTTAGTAATAAATGTTATCTTTTGTTGCTTTTTGTTGCATTATATGTGTTTCTTTTTGTTGCATTGTGTTTTTTGTTGTTGCATTTTGTTGCTTATTTTTGTTTATAGTTGAATTTGATTTTAGTTGTTTTTTAGGTTCCTGCTTATATATATTTGCTACTTCTTTGGAATAAAAAAATAAAAAATGATATATTTATCGTGATAGTTTCATATGTTATCTTTTGTGGCATTATATGTGTTTCTTTTTGTTGCATTTTGTTGTTTATTGTTGTTTACCGTTGAATTTGATTTTAGTTGTTTATTTAGGTTTCTGCTCATATATCTTTGCTACTTCTTTGAAATCAAAAAATCATTTATAGATATGTAATCACCTAAAATGATAAATTCGATGTATGAATATCAACAATAAAACTTGAAGAAACAATAAAAAACAAATATTCGAAATTTGCAACAAAAATAAACATAAAGAAACACAAATAAACAACATGCAACAAAAATAACAATAAAATGATAATAAGAATTAAACTTTGTAGTTGCTTTCAAATTTATTAAAAATCATACTTTGTAATAATTTTTGCTTTTTTACGTTTTTAATATTTTAGATTTTTTACATTTGGCATTCGAGTTTGGAATTATTACCTTTTCTGAATAATTTTATACTTTTTACCTTTTTATTTATATATTGTACATTTTTTTTGTTTTTTGCTTTTATTCTTTTTAGGGTTTTAAATTTTTTCCCCCATAAACAGGTTTTATTTTACTTTTGTTAAGATTTGTGATTTCTTTCATTGTTTCAGCATTATTATAAATTTTTACATTTTTGCTTTCTAATTTTTATTTTAAATTAAAAAAAAAATAAAGTAATTCTTCACTTTTGACTTATACGAAGTATTTTAGAATCACAAGAAATAACAATCTTACAGATTTTATAGATTTTAAAAATTACAGATTTTTATATTTTGTTTTATAGTAATCATTTTTACATTTAATTTTAGTTCATGAAATTTTCAAAATTTACAATTTTTCAAATGTTCCTAAATACTCCATATTTTACAATTGAGCAATTTTCCTCCTACTTATTGAACGAACCGATAGTATACGGCTAGAGGCTTAAGTGCCGTTAAGTGCCGTTACTGCAGTAAGCAAGTTTAAGGCTATTCTTGAAAAGACATCTTTGATTAGTCTATTTTTGAAAGAAATTTTCAAAAGTGAAAAAATTGATATTACTTTTAGTTTTTAGTCTATTTGGGAAAAATTCCCAAATTTGTTTCTATAATCTAGTCTACCCAGTTGGAAAAACCAAAAACAACGACCAACTCGCACATAGGGATGGACTTGGGCCGGGTGGCCCAACCCGGGACCGGTACTGTTCCGGCTTGACCCGACCCAGTGGCCCGGTCAGTGACCGGTCCAGGTAGGCCCGACCCGTGGATTTTCTGGCCTGGGCTCGGGTCACCCAAAACAAGGCCCGACCCGGCCAAGTCCGGGCGCGGTTCGGGCCAAAACTGTTTTTTTTTTCAATTTGTTTTTAAATTTTTGGGTTGGGATGGGTATTTTGGGCCATTTCGGGTGGTTTGGGGGTTAGGGGTGGGAGGGGGGTTAATTAGAAAGAGGGAAAAAAAAAAATGATAATGGACCCGGCCCGACCCGGACCCGGTGGTTACCCAGGCCGGTCCCGGGTCAACAATTCCTGAACCACCGGCCCATTCAGGCCTAGGCCCGATCCAGACCCGAGTCCATCCCTACTTGCACACAATCCAAACCAACATTTTTGGTCTAAAAGCCAATCGCCCAAACTCCTCAACTCCAGAGTTCAATTACTGGTGGTCAACTATTGCAATAAATGAACTGACACAAAAAATTCACTGAAAGCCTCAAACCAGACTTGGACTCAGGCCAGGTCGGGCCCAGGCCGGCGGTTCTGAATAGCTGGACCCGGGACCAGCCTAGGTAGCCACCGGATCCGGGCTGGGCCGGGCCTCAGGTTTGGTTTTTTTTTGCTTACCTACCCATCCCTGACCCCCCTCACCCCCACCCACCCCCAAACTCCTCCTAAACATCAAGCCCAACCCAGGTGGAGCCCAAACAAATGAAAAACAAAAACAAAATACAAAATCAATTTGGTCAGAAACAGGTCCGGCCTTGTTTTGGGTGACCCAAGCCCGGACCAGAAACCCATCGGGTCGGGCCTACCCGGACCGGTCACTGACCGGGCCACCGGTTCAGGC